CATGATCTGGACAACAACGGAGCCATTCGGCTTTACCCAATTCCAGTATCGTCAACTTCACCTGGGCACCGGGCATGTACGAAATTCGGCGTTCATAGAATTCTACCGATGCTTGTGGAAGGAGATCATACTTCTGACACAAATTGAAGAGGATGGTCCATCCGCACATATTGTCAAAAGCCTGAGTCGGCATGATGATACTATCCAGTCTTACCTGCGGGATTTCTAACAGTTGCGAGATTGCTAGATGAAGGCTCGGGAGGTCTCGGTGACGCGGATCGTGGATAGCGATGAATGCACACCATCGGGATTGTGCACGTGCCAAAGTAACCATGACCCAATGCTGATGAAACAGAACAATCAAGGTGACCTGGTCGAAACCTACCGCTGAGAACGCATAGTCATCATAGCAATTCAAAGTTTGCGTATCAAGCTGGAATCTCATTGGTGATGGGAAGAGTCGTTCACTGTCACGTGGCCTAATCCCCCGAAGGCACAGTTCAATCTCAACACTAGACATCCAAGCTGGGGACTGGGCTAGAGTCGTGTTAATCTCTTGTTCATAATCCGCCTGCGTAACTGCATGCGGCAACAGACACGATCGACGGACATAGTCATCAGTAACCCCCGCAAAGGAGATCATGGCCGAAGTGGCAGGGACTCGAGTATCTGGATTACCTAACGCATACTGAATCAGGAATCCCATACGAACTTGACTTGCAAAATCACGTAAGGCCTGACCAGCGTTCGTCCGATTCCAAAAGCGTTGCGACCTTTGGAGAGCCTGAATGATAATATCATGGTGTGTGGTGGGGTTGGCGGATTGCAAATGCAGTAAATGATCAAGACCAAAATCTTGCTGCCACTTGTGCAAAAGTGTCCACCCACACATCGAAATGCTTTGATCCTGACGATGGACATGAGATGTCATTCTATGTGGCGGGATTTGAATGGCTTGAGCGATTTTATGAAGAATCCTGGTCACTAAATGATCTGGCCATTGTACCAACAAGACATGTGGCGGGAAACTCCTCTTATCTATCTCAAGCGCACACCAATGGGACTTAATCAAAAAGGGCATCACCGTGAGCTGCCGATTGGTGATGTACAGCTCGATGCTTCCTTCAACATTGGTCATCAAGTCACGATCTGGACACCAGTGAATGACTGGGGATACATGGACATCATCTCTCCTCTGTCGAATGAGTTGCAAGCAGAAATGCATTTCATCAGATGCTAACCAGCCATTATCCCGCGAGGTGGCCGCCAGCCTTTCATGGAGAGAAACATCTGTCTGCATGTGAATCACCTCACTCTGGTCCCAAGCCGGGTGTCCGCCAATAAACACTGCATTAGGCCGATCAGTTTCCCTTTGTCTACCGAAGGAGCAAAAGGTCCGCCACTTACCTTCGCCAATGTTGGTATTTGACATTACAGTTGTACGCAATGGCTTCGCCAGCATAGCTGTAGATATTGGAAATCCAAATGTCCAAACTGAGGATGTCGAACTGGGTACAGCCCCACTATTGATAGTTTGCGCATGGCGAGCATATTGCTGTCCCGAATGTGGATTTAATGCACAATGATTCGGAGTGGATGAGTCCACGGGTACAGCCCCACTGGATAGATTCCTGTTGGTTTGCAATAGCGTACCACATAGTTGGCAATTGTCATCACAGCACTCACTTGTAGGGAGACACCACGAGGATCTCCATTTGCCATCAGACTTGGTGCTAGGCCCACCTGGACGTCCAACTCGAGACATAGAAGATCGCAACCCTGAGAATGTCCTGGAAACTATCCCCATTCGTGCGATATCATTGATTTCCGGCTGTCGAGCTTGTGCCTCAGAACCTGGAGTGGTTGTATACACGGGTACAGCCCCACTGCATATTGTTTTGAGTGTCTGCCAGATCATTTCACAACTTCGATATAGGTTCTCATAGTGCCCCCATGTGTGATTACGTTGATCGGAGGTCATCGTCTTTCCTGCCAAATCCTCAGACCTTGTAGAATATCGTGGCGTAGGATCATGAAGCCCGGAGGAGGACGGCCTTACAGGTGTTGTCCCACAGCGTGTTGTTGCCACCGATTTCCAGAATAGGCCAGACAGGCAAGGAAAGTGCAAACAACATATCACCGTATGAGAGCCACAACAAAAGCTTCTGGAACTATGTGAAAAGACATCTGATCCGGCCTGATGTCGTTGCTGTGGAACTGGGTTAGCGGAAAAGGATGTTCTTACGGGTACAGCCCCACTGTATGTAGTATCGACATCGAAGCCATCCGAACTTTGTGCAATATCTAGTAGCAACTGATTCCGCCTTGACGAGCATCCAACGTCCTGCCGGACAACAGGCTGAACCTGGAGAAAGTCCAAAACAGCTTGAGGTTGTTGTGATGACTCAAGGTGCGCAGAGAAAGCTCTTTGCCTGGGTGCCCATGTCGTAATGCTGTCATCGATGCACGCAAAATCTGGGTAAATATCTTGCTGCGACAGGACTTGCCCCAAAATGCTCTTTTGGCTGATGGTAACGAGAACTGAGAATTCGCCTTTGGCCTCATCCCAGTCCACCTTTGATTTAGGTAAAGGTTGGTCTTGGACGAACTGCTCAAGCATGGATTTCACTTGTACAAGCAAATGTACATCACGGTAGGACAACCCTACCATTCGGATGGAGGACAAACTGATGTGATTGGCACACTGATCCAGCCTGGCAGTCAGATGGTGTTGATGACAATCATCGCCACTCGCAAATAGGCCGTGAGTCAAAAGGATCTGAAAAAGAACATTCTGCGGTCCAAAAAATTGACTGAATGGTAGAGGACCTTTCAAGAGCTGGTCCACGTTTGTGGACTTATCTATGTTCAGATAAATGAGCATCTTGAAATCGCTTCCCATCAAACTTAAAGCAACTTTCGGACTGCAAGACCTAACGGCATGATTTGGCGCATGTCCAACACCTACACGAACGAGATCCCATTGTTTGGCCTTTGGAGTGTGCATGCCATCTTGTAGATAGAGACAATGGATCTTACGTGCGTGAATCAGTATACACATTCGGGAAGGTTGGTCATACGTGACCTGCACCTCATGGATACAATACCCACAAGATAAGTCACAGAGCTGAATTACCCCACGGAGGGTACGGTAGGCATCATTTTCATGTTGGCTACATTGTAAGATGGCACTCACAAGCAAATGCGTTCTCATACCTACCGTGTCCAATTGCGTTTTCTCTTCATGGTCATCTACTTCGCTGGGATGGTCAACAAGTGTGATGTCAGTCATATCACCCCATACCAACCGAGGAGGAATGAATGCATCTCGTATAGTCAAAACTACACAACCCGGTGGCCCATGGTTCATGATATAACAAATCTCTTGCACAGTATCAGACATCACATCGATACAGGCCGACTCTGAATTCAGGTGTTGCGAATTGGCACATGCACAACTTGACTCTAAGTCACACAGCTCCAAGGAATGTTCTGTCACTACGAATGACCCCGAAGTATCTGTGGGCAGTACAATTGGCGGGAGCTCGAACACATATCCCTGGTGTTGCCCTTGCAGCAATGAAAGCATATACTCAATGTCACCCGAGGTTGACCTAGGAGGAATTGGTACGTCTCGTGTGGTGACAACCACACAACCAGGCCAATCAACAAACATGGACATGGGCATATCCAAACATGCTGACCATATGGTGTTACCATTTGACATGGCATGTGCATCCTCGTGCCAGATGGGAGAATCGGAAGACTGCACCCATGGGCAGGAACTACCCTGCCTAGGCGACGATGTGACTTTCTTCAGACTCCACATCCATTGCAGGATACCATCAAAACACGAGGCTATGATACCATGGTGGAGTTCATCATGTCCAGAACCCAAAGGCACATTTGAATGATCTGTGGAAGACATAATCGGTTGCTTTTCACACCGTCCATGCATTCCGAACCATTCCGGCATGAGGTCAATGTCTGCTTCTGGAGAGCCTGATGTCAAAGGCATTCTGGACTCAAACTGTTGGGCCCATGGTTCGAAACCTTCTGGTGTCACACCGATTGTACCACCGGAGGCATAAGTGTCACACCCATAGGTCGCATCAGGTGGCGACCCTACTTCGTGTTGGCATTCACCCGAACACTCATTCTCGATCAGCACGGCAAGGTTGGTGTATTGACAACTCCATGGCTCCGACATGGCATCGTCATCCATCATGTATCCATAGCCTGCCAATTGATCATATCGAAAGTGCTCGACTGCCCATGGTTCAGGGTGCTCTTCCAATGGCTTATAATCAGGATCCGCAAATCCTGCTGGAACATCTGGCTCATCCGCTGTAAGGAACAAATCTGGATTCACCTGTTCCTCATTGACTCTGCGCAATCCACTTTGGTAGCAGCCTCCCTTTGTCCACGTATACAGAGTACACGCTGTCTTCGTCTTCAGGTAGGGGAGGACATGGGTCGCAATCTTCTTAATCAACACACAGCCATTAGCAGCACGAAATTGAACCATGGCATAATGAGAATGCCTCAGCACCACCTTTTCAGCAGTAAATTCATCCATCTTCACAGCTTTCCAGGTAGAGCTAGCAGAAATCAAGTGCCCCACATAACCATGGCATGGCATCGACCTAGCTATCATGGCTCGATCGGCACCACCCCCCCTCCCAAGGGGGATGGCAACGGGTGCGCTACGCGTAAGCTCGAGCCTAACACCTCTGGTTGATCCACCGACGAGGTCAAACGACCAGGGCTCCAGGTGTTGACCCATCCGCATATATTCTGAATAGTCTATAATGAATCAGCTTTATCCCTGATCCTTGTCCTTGAAGCGTTCGATCGTCACAGCTCCCAATTTTACATAGAAGCTGGGCCATAATGTTGTACATGGAAAACACCTGAGCCTGAGATGATGGCCGATTGATGAAAACACGCACTGCGAATAAGCAAAACCTGTCCCACATACCTTCGCCAGCGCAAGGCGCCTTGCAGATCCTCCAAGAGCAAAGACTCCTTGCAGATCCGGCGGAGGCTAAGATCCTCTCGGGTTCCAAAGAGTGTGACCAGAAAGAACAATAGAATGTAGTGTTCCACATACATTCAGAAGTAGCTGCTACAGCCAACTACAGGTTTGGTGGAGAGCGAGAGAAGCCACACATATACTAGTTTTGATAGGTGGAACCCAAAAAACACACAGATTTTGTTGTAGGCCAGCAGTTTGGGAGCTTCCGGCAAATGTTCATGGAGGACATCTACATCTGAAGGAGACAATTTTGCATTTTTGAGCACCAAAAAGTCATTGGTGATTGAACCTGCTGGTGTGAGGTCCAGTTGCAAGCAGGACATCATTTTGGTTCCCACATGCAGAAGTTGAAACCTGTCACACATCTGCTAAGACGCCTAAAAATTATCGACTTTCGAGCCACTCAAAGGGTGCACTATTCTGTTTGTCAGACTGCTGATGTCAGCTGCGTTCCTTACCAGGGGAAGCACGTAAAAAGAACAAATACGAGTGTGTCAAGACCGCGCCCCCTCCGGTGAACACACAAATCGCTTATAAAGATTGCAATGCATACAATATAGAGAAAGAGAGAGACCCTAAACGCCCATGTTTGCAAGAACGTCGCATCTCAGCCGCGCTCAGCCGCGCATCTTCTTGGCCGCTCTTTTCAATACAAACGTCCAGCCGCTCCTCTTGTGGAATGTCAGCCTTCTCGGAGAACTGGACCTTCACCACACCCGAAGAGCGCGACAAGCTAGAGTGGGCCATCAAAGGCTTCGAGGCCGCGCTTGGGGACCTACATAAGTTTGGTGGTAGTTATGGAGGTTCAATATACAAGGCATCTTGGGGTGCCTACTGCCTACTCTGAAACCAGTGTACAAAGTCTTGTTCTGAGTCTTGTAAGACGCTGGCCTCCAGCTCCTTGGTGAGCTTCTTCTGTATCGCAAGCCTGGAAGTGGGCGGTGAAATGGCGCCCTGTGGCCTCCCTGGAACCCAAAATGGTCCGAAGAAGCAAGCTTTGGAAAACGACTGCAGCTATAGAAGAGCACCTTACCTTGAAGCCTTTCTAGCTTGGCTGATGATGCCGAAACTCACCCTAATCAAGACATATAAAGACCAATCCACCCAAGCCAACCCACCTCCCCCGCTACCACCCCCCCCCCCCCCCCCCCCCGGTGCCTGCAAAGGTCCCCGATGCGCTCCGCCGGGAGATTCGGGTCTGCAATGGGTTTTGTGTTTTTTTTTCGCGGCTTACGAAACGGTCGGTGAAGATGAGGGGGATTTTCTGCGTTTTCGATCTTTTTTCCGGAGAAAACGGAAAGAAGTCGGTTTGAGAAGATGTTGCGAGATGAAAAGGAAGAGACTTTAAAGACGCACAACAGTGTTTTGTTGCATGAGTTTGTATGATTTTGTCACATCTCCCGAATGATGGTTGGGATCACTTGGGGATTCTCTTCTTGGAAATGGGTGTCAAGAGATAAAGTCTCTATAAATTGACAGGCAATGGTGTTTCTATGAAATGCCAAACCAACTAAACTCTCGATAAAAGTCATTTGAAGGATAGATGGACAAGTTCAGCTTTTCTAAAACGATAAAACTAGATCCCAATAAACAAAATATAGATCATATACTGGCGCTCTGTTGATAGAGTCGCTCTTCTGCTGGGTGTCCTAATTCATTAAAGATACACCCAGGCCCGGGCCTGTAGGCAAACTGTGTAACCCCCCTGACACGTCTGCATCCCCTTCGCCCACCAAAAGCGTGCATGGCAACAGGCCTTGCATGGCAACAGGCACTGCAGTGCCAAGGAATTTCAAGACGCTCAACTTCTGCCTGTGTCAAGGGAGCGAAGGGATTGTAAACAAACCCTCTTCAATTCCATGTATTGGTCGACTATTCTTCCTGCTTTGGGTGATTTTAGAGAGGGTACATTCCGTATATATAAATGCAGCGTCTAGCGATGCCTTTGGTAAACATGTATCAACATTCTGCACAAAGTCCATCCAATCATTTGACCAAGGAACCAAGCGTCCCCAATTAACTCGGACTTTCTCTGTTTAGTTTTGTTTTTCTCGGGTGAACACCTGTTGTCTGCTGTATTGGTGCAAAAAGGCTACTGTACTATGGAATGTGAACCTCGAAGCTGCCTCAAAGTGGATGTTTATTTTGGAGAAACATCCTCCTCCCAAAAGATATACCCTCGCTCAGGAGCACAATCACCTGGTGGACGCCAGCCCGCTTTGCGCTGACGCAGCCCTTTTTCAAATGCGGGAGCATGGTGCGGTCAGCTTTCTTCGAATCCCCTGCTCCTTGGTGTGCCGGGCCGGTGCTCACGAGGGTCTATCGTATTTCAAAACCGGTCAAAACATGTCAAAACCTTGCATGTGAGGTGAACCTTACTTTGCCTATAATTGTTTAGTTATTATATCATATGATATCATAATCATGTGTAAATTAGGTGTATATACATATAATATATATTTTTATGTATGTGCTTTTCGCGGTCTACTTGTCATCTCATATGTACTTCATTTGATGTCTGAAATATCACCCATGTTCGCTGCAGGGATCAAACCAAAGCCTAGGATTTGAAGCGCTTCCGCCCTGACCCAGTGCATATTGGCATGCCGAGGCACTCGATCCTCGGACCAGTGCAACTCATCTGCTAGGACCTTCAAAAGTTCCAGAGTTTGTCCACCAACTGCCACACTGAGCAGCTCCAGGCACCTGTGACCATCTGGGAGGCAAGACCGTGTGGTCGTGCAGTATTTGTTGTGTTTTTTTCTTAGGAAGGCAAAACCGTGCTTTGTTTTTTTGTTTGTTTGTCTGTTTGTTTGTACTTGTGTGTGTGTTATTGTTTGTTGAGGGCACCGGAAAGAAAGGGATGGTCCAGGAGGATGAAGATGCGCGCATCTTTAGGGTTCCCGAAAAATGCCAAGGCGTGCACCCTAGCTAGTGAACTCCTGAATATATCGTCATGTGTGTTTCGGGACCATTCTCGGGAGATCCTACTAACATTGGATGCATGTTTGTTCGCACGTTCTCCAGGTGAACTTCAACCATCCGGCAAATACAAAAAGGCATGAAAGGGGATGCAGCATGGTACAGTGACAGCTCCATATGTAAGTAATTCACCCAGCTATTCTTGTGGCCAAACATGGCGCGCCACCTCTAATCCTCGGACTTGTTGCTTCACCGTGTTCCAGCTGACTCATTTGTTGAGTTTCAAAGACTGACCTTAAGGGTACCTGTACCTTAAGCGTCAAGGGCCTCTGATACTACAAGTTATGATATAACGAACTGGAGCTTATTGAAGTGTTCGATGCCTTTCTACATCTTTCTACCACTTCTCGGGAACCGACTGACGAACCCTCCAACCTATTGATCAAACTCTGTTCCTTTGAAAGCCGTGGAAAAAACCTGCCTCCCACGACCCAAATGACCGAACTTGAGATCCCAGAATACCGGCCACTGGTCCTCCCCGAATAAGAGGTGTTCTTCGGCCCTAACGGGCCGTCGACTCAACAGCCGCAGGTGTCGCAGCTGAAAAAAACAGGGTTTCACCAAACCGTCCACCTCTTCTGTTCCGTCTATGCTGGCGTGTCCCAAAAGTCTCCTCAAAAAGACTGGAAGACTGCAAGCTATCTCCAAATAAATCCAGGTTGTTTTTTCCTTGTGTCGACGATCTATCACCTTGAATCGTCAAACAATATCCAACCCGTCCGCAAATCCATTCTATATGTCTTCTATATCAATATCCCATTACCAGCAACAGTGGATGATGCTCGCTCAGTTGCAGGCCGACTCTATCATACTCTAACATATAGTGACCTGTTACTTGTACATCTCCGTCTCGTTCTTCTCTTCTGCTTGTTTGGGGGACCAACCGACAGACCCTCCGCCCCGCTACGCCTAGCCAGGCCGGTCTCGGGGTCCAGCGGCTCGGTGAGGCGCTGCAGGCAGCGCTGGCGCTGGCGCTCGGGCCTTCCGGTCGGATGTTTGGGGAGGCTTCGAGACATGGAGGTTTAGAATACTTCAATTCTATTCTGCATACTCAGTTTATGTATAAGTATACTTAGTATACTAATTCTATCTGAATTCTAATTTTATCTGTATATACTTAGGTTTTATTCTGCATGGAAACAAGGTACTGGGCAGTACCTTGGAATTGGAAGGAGATGAATGGAAAGTGTAGAGAAGGGTTAGGACATATTGGAAAGTTCCACATGGCTAATTGTAGGGAAATTTATCTGAATGGTTCACCATCTCTCGTTCAACCCTAGAGTGGAGATATGTCAATTACAAACGATCACTGCTTCGACTTAAGTACATGTAAATACTACCATGTGCCAGTTAATTCCATTTAAATACCATGTACCATTTAAGTACCTGTTTCTTTAAATACCTTAATCACCTTGTTCTGCCAAGTTTCCATCTTCCAGTTTTTGTTTAGTCGGATAGACTTCACTCACCAGGTCGTTCGACTGACATCCATGTTTGGTCCCAGTGCACGAAGTCAACCCACTTCCGACTGTCCAGGAGCGTTTCATGATGAACACCACTGGCATGATCTATCTAACCTGGATGGTAGTTTTTCACCATCTGCCCAAACATTAAAGTCAAAACGTTTCTTGACTCAAAACATGAGTAGTTAAAGTACTCAAAACATTAAAGTCAAAACATGAGTAGTTAAAACGTAAACTGTAAAAGGTACATGAAGGATCATGAAGGCATCAACCAGTTGCTGATCTATCCGGAAAGACCAGCCCAAAATTTGTTGACGTTTCGCACCCCGTCAAGGAAAGGTCTTTTGGAGCCTGGCCTTTCCAGCAGTTCTCTTCCAGCGATCTTCGCTAGAGTGGGAACCAACTTGGCCCAGCGTCCTCCGCTGCCAGCTCCTGTGGTCTCGACCAAAAAATGGTGTGACCCTGAATGTCCAAGAGTTTTGAAAAAGAATCTTGTATCATGTCATGGTGATGCAACATGTCCACCTCTGCGTGAAGCCTGTAATACTGCGTGTCATCCCACCAAACTGGAAAAAAAAGAACTATTTCAGCTATATAACTACATGGATTGAGCGTTGCCTATCTGCACCTCGACCAGTCTCTTCTTTTGAATTCCTAAGAATAGAAAAAGTCTTGCGATGCTCATCCACTGTCCGCCTGAAAGATCCGGCTGCGCACGTGCCCAGCACTCATCAAATGCCATGAGCAGCTCAGCGTCCGCGCGCAAACCGCTGCTGCTCAACTTCCCTTCGCCTCACTCACGAAAGCGCGGAGAAAACACGAAAGCCTCCAAGTCCGACGTATGTTTCGGGGTGTCAAGGGGGACTGGAACGTAACTGTTCACAGGAATATCTGGAACACCTACTGCGAAGGTGTATATCTTGGATGCATATATATATATAGAGAGAGAGAGAGCCAATGTCCATGTTATTTTTGCGTTCGAGCACTTCCTCCATCAAAGGTCCAAACATGAAATTTAACAATTATCCAATGCCAGGAGAACCTCAAACACCCCATAACATGCCAAGATGTCCCAAAATGTTCCGAAACAATGATCTCAGTCTCAATCTGTATCAATCTGTATCCTTTCTTCATGCGATGTTGCCATCTTTCCAGATGAGGGACGGGTGAACGTCCTCTTTGCTCGCCATGCCCTGCCCGCCTTGTCCTCCCACCAAGGGCACCACCCAAATCTCCAGATCCGTCCGCCCTAGGCGGCGCCGCTCCACGTTGATGCTCTGCGCGCCCGTGGCGGTTTCAACCTGGGTCTTGATTCAGCTCCCACACAGAGTGCACAGAAGAAGGCCATTGGCCATTTGAGCGAGGGCACGGGTCCCAGCATGACCCAAACATCCCAAACCGTTCGATTTCGACCAGATATGGACCTCAACATGTTTGACTTGCGGAGCTCACCAGCCTCTCGGTCATATCTTTTGCTCGACTTGTAACGAACACTGCAATCGGCCGACCGAACAACTGCATGCGGCCGACCGTGCAGAACTGTACAGCCAAGGGACCGAAACGACCAAGGCTCTCAACTGAGGCCACAGAGATGGGCCAAAGGGATCTTGCAGCTCCTACACCCGGTCCACGACCCGATGCAGCCAAGCGCGAGAGAGGGAAGGACAGGTCCAGTCAGAGCGATGGAAAGGGGAGGATGGAGAGTCTCTCAGAGAGGTGAACCCCTGAGCTTTTCCTGCGTGGCAGGAGATATAGTGATCCCTGGGTTTAAGTCCAGGATATACATATAATATGGTCCATGGTGAGGATATACACCTCAGACATCATAGCCATCCCTTGAGGGCTGCTATCTTTTGGATGACTTGATGTTTGTCCAACTTGATCCCACAAGACCACCCCGTGGTCCAAAGCACTTGGGAAAAAATGAAACACCATGGAGTCGCTGCGGTTCAAAGGAACATGACCTGTTCAAACGTGTTTTTTTCCGCTTCAAGCAGCCATATGGTTGCCAGTCGGGCAGTTTGCATCGAATTAAGTGGTCGGATGGTAGTCCCGACGTTTTATACCCTTCCAAAACTACTCATGTCGACTTTGGCAACCCAAAGATGGGTGTCATTTTCATAGGGAGACCTCTTTGCCTAACCCCTGGGTACACATGGGTAGACTGGTTTACTTTCTGAACCAAACTCGTTGCCTGGATCCCATCTCCCTATCTATTTTGCCCTGGGGCTCCAACCATATATCAGGTTCGGTGATTAGACCCCCCTGGCACCCACCCCAACCATCTTCCCAGGAGGTGGGCCAGGAGCCAAACGTGTCACGACTCGAACACCGCACCACGACTCCTCCAGCCGCACTGAGAGCATGGGCTGCTGCAGTGCAAGGAACGCCTCAGCTCAAATCATCGGTTCTGACGTGAAACAACCCGGGTGGAACTTAGACAGAAATTCCTTACATAAAGTGGAAAACAAACACAATTTGTTGGTCTGTTTAGGAGTTGGTCTGACATTAACAAACCACAACAATAACTCGTCCTAACTCCAAACATGTTGACCTTAAACAACTTCTAACATGTCCAACACAACAGTAGGCGAGTTACTAGAGTTCTGCTGATCCTCCCCTTCCATCTCATTCAATCCTCCTTATGGGTGGCGGACACGTTGGACGTCGTTGGTTGCCAGCCAAGGGTCTGCTACCTCCCGCGCACGCTCGCCCCAACTCTGCAGGAGACTCGCAGAGGCCTGAGGCCGACGGTGAGAGCATACACCCGAAGTAAGCAGCAAACAGGACCTATGGGAAATGAATGCAACATGGATTGAGTATCAACAAATAGTATCTATCGGCATCTACTGCAGAAGTCCATTCTTGAACAGTTGGGATGGGTTTGGTTCTATCTTTCTTTCCGATGTGTTAAGTGTCTGAGAGATGATGGGTCACCTCCCATGCTCTTTATGTTCTTTGCACTGGCAGTGAAAGACTCTTCATGCAGCGGCTACTAGTAGAGGCAACAAACCATCCGCAACCCAGGTGTTCTCGCCCATTCTTTCATTGCTTCGAAGTACGACCCAAGGTGGGGGTCGTCCCCACGCCTTCTCGCGCAGCAAGGGCTCTCCAGAGATTCCAACCACCAAACCTGTGACTGACTCGGCCCAAACGCGTTTCGGAAACGCGAGTCGACGAACCAGCGAACTCTGCCGTTGTGTGGTGGAAGAAGGTGGAAAAAGCCAGACTCCAAACGAATCATGGTGACGTGTCAATGTTCAACAGCTGGTGCCATTCTTTCTTCCCTTAGAAGGGTTTGAGTTCCAAAAAGCCTGGAGAATGAACTGAATCACAGTTCTCTTTGCGTCCTTTCTTTTTTTTGTGGCATCCTTTTCGTTCTTTCCGGCCAAGTAAAGAACTATCGGATCATATATCGGTGGATATGACTCTTTGGCCAGGAATATCCCACACTTTGGTGTGGGATCCAATGCATCTACCGGTGTCTGGCCGCTGATGACGACGAAGAGAAAAGGGGCCTCGAGTGGCCATCGCGGCTGCACAACTCAGGAGCACCTGCAGCGATGGAAAAGAACGAAGTAACTAATATATAAATTTTATGTGGATCATTTGGTATGATATGTTCATATTGTATAATTATTACCAGTATAGTATATATTGCACAAGGTACAAGTATAAGAAATATACCAGGATCATCCTGTCTGGGTGTCCTGGCTACCCTACCCTACTTACAGCCAGACAGGGCACACGTTGAAAGTACTAGGTATGTGGATAATTATTGTATACCGAACAGTAACTATACAATATACAGTACAATAATCTATATATATAGATATGTTTATATTTTTTATTGTATCTTACTGTATTACTATTGTATACTATACTATTGCTATATTGCATTGTTGTATAAATTGCATTGATGCTGTGTTTACTCCTGGCCAACATCCAAAGCGTCATTACTGACATTATTCCCCAAGTCAATGAACTCTTGCACATCCCGCTGAGTTCCTTCTTCAACACCTCCCGTTTGATTCCATGGTTCTTTGCACATCTCACCGCTGGCGGCCATGTCCACAAGAATCAACCAACACCTGGGACCAATCCTCATCCAATCAAGATTCCTAGTGAAGGCCACACAGTCGGGTCAAAGCCAACACAAAGACCATAATGGTCTCATCTTAAAAGCGTTTCTCTACCTGAACTGCATGGAGACATCATCAACCACCGTGATTAATAACCAAATCCGTTTGGATTGTACAACCTCTTCACATGGATATTTTATTCATCAAGATTCTACATACTCCACAAACCATTGTCACATGTGTGACTGAGTATATAATTATTGGCACTCTTAGATCCCAGAATTGGTTTCAGGGAAAATCTACAGGAATCCCAGAGTTTTGGGTGTGAAAACATGGCTTTCCTGTAGATGTTCCCTTAAACCAATTCATTGATTAGAGCAATCATGAAACATGCAACTCCTCCCGGACCCAGTAAGCCATGCACGCCTAGTGATGAGAGTCAATTTACACAAAACTTCGGACCCAAAGACCAGATTCAAAACCTTTTTTGGCTCTAGACCCTCGGACAAGAAACGTGGCAAGGCCAAGGAACTGGTTTTCTCTGGAAAACACATAAAAACAAACGATGTCAAGGTGGCCAAGGCCAAGGGGTAAACTACTTTTTCCTTGAAAGAACTACGGACTTCAAGGACTTCCTTTCTTAGCTTAGCTTAGGTACCTTTCAATATTTGGTATTGTTATTGTTCTACCAAATAACTGGGAGAAGCAAAACTCACAGCCACACCGATCCGGGATGTTGCCTGATCCGTCGATCCGTCGACCGCGTCCGCCACCTTGTGGCCTTCGTGTAAGCGATCGAAGGTGCCGCCGAGCGCCACATAGTCCTGGGTCGACCGAGCCGAGCACTCCATGAAGGCAGGAGACCGTTCGCAAGGAAACCACATCAGTCCAACACCCAGTATAGTAGTCCTCTGGAACTCCTAAGTGAGTGGATCATGGGACTAGGGATCCCTTTGAGTGGTGTTTAATCAATCCCTAAGTGAGTGGATGTGACAGGGGCACCGTAACTTCCTTCCTCCGAGTTTTCTGCCCTTAGTGACTTAGTGGGATGATTGAAGATCCAGTGGGTCCAGCTCGGCTAGTTTCGTCGGCCGCGCAAGAGAGAAGTGATGAGGATTCGGATGTACCTCCCTACCCTCGCAACTACCTTCAAGAGTCTTGAATCTGTTTTTGATTCGAGCACAACAGCTTACAGGCCTCGATGCAAGCACCTTCCGTCCGGCATCGACCTGCGGTCGAAGCCCCGCAACGGTAAGGCTCGAGTTGTCGAGTCAAATCCTCGACTCAACGACGTCGACACATCCACACAAGAATCACAAATCTGGGCTTGCAAAAAGTTGAAAGGATTCTGGGTCTATTACCAGTAAGAGTTGATGATGATGATGATGATGATGGTGATGATGATGATGATGATGATTATGATTATGGTAAAGGCCTTGTAAAAAATAAATAAATCTATATATATATAATATATATATATATAGATAATATATAGTAATTGTTTGGTGACTGATACAGGCAATAGGACAAACCCAAGATTCAGGCAAACAAAAGGGGCAAAGAAAGTGCAAGTCTTCATTAGGTGTGCCGGGCAATGCCGGGAAAGACTCTCAACCTTAGGTCATAACCGGTAAACCTTGGACCCTCCTTGTACCACAAGGGTCACGATTAAAACACCCACCACCCTCCATGGTTTGTCACATATATACTCGACTTCCCCAAAGTGATGGCGGTACAAGTTATGAGCAATGAGGCGCATTACAGGGTTCAAAAGGGCCGTTGAAGCATCATCTTTACTATCGTTTACTCCTCCATCTTCGGTTCTTGGATGTTATTGGGTAGAAAACAAGGCACGTGTTACGTTCCAAGCCTTTTGATGTATACTTACTTTTTAGGCGTTTCATCTTCTATCCCAAGGATGAGCATTCTACCTAGCTTCTAGCCTGCGCCTGCAACTAGGCTTGCCACCTCTCGTGCATTGTGCGTTGAGCAGGACCAAATGCATTCACTCGAGATCTGTTCGCCTCAAATCATCGCCATAGAGATGTCATAATTAGTTGAACACATATGCTGAGCTTGTTTGGAATGTTCACCTTATTTTGTAGGAACCCAGGATGTCTATGTCACGCACGACTGAAGAGTAGGAGGGCCAAGCCCGTCCCTCTGCCTTCGCCTGTCAGGCGGGGCAGCACCGAGAGCTCCTGAGACCGCGGCGGATGGGTTGGGCGAAATGGAAAGCGAGAACTGTTGATGGAAGAAATGAGATCCTAAGAAATGGACTTATCCAAAATGCGAAGGTAAAACAGGAAAGAAGCATGCATGATCCTCCCATTCGTCTGGCTCCGAGTATAAAGCCCCTATAGAAAATCCCAAGCTTTGCGGAAAAGAAACGATCCTGTTCTTTAGGAAACCAGCTAAAGGTTAAGTGTCCTTATAGGACCCATAACCTGGGGTACCCAACTGGGATAGTCAAACGTTCGGGTACTTCAACCTCTGTTGGACACATTGCCTGAAGATGACAGAATTCTCTGACTGATTTCCTCAAGTTCGACTCTTCAGCCCCACGGAGAAAATCGACACCAAAACTGACCAATTGAACACTCAAATAAAGGTTACGTGAATGGCATAGATCGTGGGAAAACACCATGGTTCCAACCACCAAACAGGTGGCGAACTTTACCTCCTGGATCAGTTCAGGGAGTGTAAGACAACTTGCCCAGCAGCCACAGAGTCCTCCAGCAGCCACCCTTCTCGTCTTGCTTTGGCCAAAAGCTGTTGATAGCAGCTCTGCAAAAGCTCTGCCAAGGAGGCGAAGCTGAACACGCCCTGCTGCAACCTACGGATGGTGGGAGAAGAGCGGCCAAAGGATCTGGCGAATCGGCTCGATCGAGGGAGGCCCGAAAGGGCCCCCCCCGCACTACTAGGAGTAAGAAGCTACTAGTAACTGTATTTTACAGGATCAGCTCTAATAGTACTAACTACCTAGCTAACCCTGCTAGTCCGGTAAGCGCTACCTTTTGCTCTACCTTGAGAGTCAACGCTACGGGGTCCATGGGGATGAGGTGAATTTCAACACCCCCCTTTACAAGGAGCTACCCGTAGGGAAAATCTCGGGGAGGATCAAATTCTAGCGACGAAGGAATCATATTAGAAATCCCTCATCAAGCTCGTGCATGCACTATACAAGGAGAACGTAGCTACCCTAATGTACAGTTTTCGCCTCACTCGGCATGTGGTTAAACATGCTAGGCCCAGGTTAGTGTTAAGCATTGATTAAAAGTTCACTCTCCGACTATGGCAATCCTGTTATGGATGCATTGGGAAGTGAGACAATGAAGTGAAACATCATCTCACAGCGCGTCAGAAGGTGATCTTTATCTCAACACTCATAAGCTGCAAGGCATACCATTTATGGTAGCTATTCAACATCTGCTTAAAGAAATTGTATTCCAAAACGCTCCGTCTCGTCATGCCATCCCTGCCTCAACCACTCCCACAATTCCATGTGATTGGGCCAATAGTTCTCGCCCCATGGGTCATCGCGTTGCCATTGTACTCCAGGAAAATCAAAGGGTTCCAATGGTCGATCAATAGTTCCACGAATGCTGGAAGTCGGCGGCCCAGTTAAGGGTGCATTATGTGACGATGATGCCGAAGCGGATGAAGTTCCGGGTGGCAATGGCGGCGGTGGCACGTTTTGTACATTCCATTGCTGTGGAGCATAAGGTCCTCCTCGAACACTCACCTGCTGCTTATCCTTGCCCTTTCCTTTTACGGAAGGTTGCAACCGACTGTAAAGGTCTGTAAGCGGCGGCGGCTTCGGCGTGAGATTGAAATCTGTCGGCCTTGTATGTACCGGAATGCCACTGGCTGTATTGGGTGGCACTTTCGGTGGAGGAACCTTTGGAGGAGGCACCTTTGTTGGTGGGACCTTCGGAGGTGAAGGTTTTGCTGGACGTGGTTTTGAAGCCGGGGATAAGCCGGCCGTTGGTGCATCATTTGGTGCAGGTGGTGGAGGTGGTGATGCTGGGGCCTCTTTCACCGGTACTGACGGTGGATTGGAAGGAGGCTTTGGGATTGACGGTTTTGCAGGAGTGGATGATGGAGTGCGAAGTGGAGGACCCAAAAGGTCCTTGGGAATGTTGCCACGCTTAGGTGGAAGGTCTTCACGGCTGCGAGATATTGCACGGGCAACTGAACCACGTGGCGTCCCTTTTGCGGGAGCAGTGGAACCTGACGCAGAAGAACTGCCTTGCCCTTTGCCCTTACCGGCAACATCTCCTCGCACACTGGCATCCCGTTTATGGGAGTCTCCTTTGCCTGATACTTGTCCTTGAGCAGGAGGTGCATTCATACTGAATACCGACGAGGTATGCGTCCCTGTTACGGGAGCTGGCGGCTGAGGCACGCCTGGCGGTGGAGTCCGGTTGTCAACCCAAGTTGCAATACGACCAGATTGATCTCGGTCTTCTTTCCTCCTCCACTGCAGCCTCGGTCGTTTGTCTGCATCTCCAATAGTCTCCATATACATCTGCGATCGCTTCCGCGTCAACGGGGGCCTTGTTACAGGTCCTTGAGGAGATGGGGATCCACGCTGTCCAAACTCCAACAAAAGTTCTTCCAACCTTCTGACTTCGTCAGATGACATGTCCTGGCCACAATCGGCAAACTTGGGATAAGGCGTGGCCATGCGCTGTTCGATGTTCATGAAGCCCATCTGTGAAACTGGCTGTCCACGATCGCGTCCCTGCACATTTGCAGACTGTTGCGCGTTTCTCTGATATTGAATGTTTGCATAATTTTCATTCTGCTCTGCAAACTCACTCAAAATCTTGTAAATGCCTGTCGTGTCTCCACGAGGAATACGAATTGAATGAATATCGCCATAGACGTCCGTCGTGGGGATAAAGCCCTGGATCTTGATCTCATCTCGGCTATCGCCAATTACGGCGGCGTATTGTCGGAGTGACATAAACTCTCGGCGATAACTGATCAGAAAGTTCTCGTCGACGCCTTGCTTGAAACAGGTATGTAGGTTGTCAACACCGCATCGAATATACGCGAGCTTGGCGAGGTCAACCCTGTCCAGTCGATCCAAATCACTGACAACCGACTTCCCTTTTGATCTCTGCTTCGCTGATCTCGTGGGTGCCGGTAATTGCAGTGACGCAAACAAGTCTTCTTGCGCTGCATCAAACGCTGTGCATCCTTCTCCGGTTAAGGAGGTGGCGAAGACGTCGTCGCGGTTGAATCGATCGAATACATTCTCATACCCTGATTTCAATGCTTTGCGAAGGCGACTGCGAGCTGCAAGAATAATCTGACTGTCAACTGACGGGCTGCCACGAGCTGGAGGTCGTCCAGACTGTAGGTCCTGCGCGGCAATGCTGTCAAGCATGCTTATTGCGGTCATGTTCTTGGGCACGCCCCCCTGCTCTTGTAGCACCTTTGCACGCCTCATCTGAAGTCGCATAAACTTTGAAATCGGTCCATCTGTTGTATTGCTCTGAAATACTACTCCGCATCGATGACAAGATGCCATTCCTGCTAAGGAAAGTGTCGTACATTTATCGCAGCTGAAAGTTCGAAGATGTAGAAAATATCCACTCTCGATCTGTGGTACAGCTGTATTGCGATTTGCCTCCATCTCTTCCTTCTTTGCGGCACTGCTGCTAGCTGTGCGTTCTTCGGGAGTGGCGTCGCTTGTACCTTCCAAAATGGTGCGTACTTCCGACACTTTTCCCGGGACCAATGTCACATCATCTTGCGGAACACCGACCTCAATGTTCGAAGGATCCAATGCCTGCGGCCTCGAATAGAAAACTTCCGGCTCCGCATTTGCGCGGGCTCGAGTTGCAAATAGAATACACGTATTCGGAACGTGATGGCTGGTAATCACCGCGCCAGAATTTGTGAGGAAAAGATCAACTCCTGCTTCAATCACATCCGGTGTTGAAAAACAAATCTCCACTGGTCGGTCAGCACGAACACCAGATATCGCCTTCTGGTTTCCCAGAGGTTGTGTTGAAAAGAAGGAATTGCCTTTGCTTTTCGGTCCACCGGCTCCACCGCCGGGAATGAGCCCGCTCGCAATAATGGATCGCGCAGCACCTTCATGCGTTCGGTGGTAAAGCCGAGGTGGTATATCGCGGTTCCCGTGCGCTGTCAAACGAGCATTGTACCTGTGTACATGGTCAGGACGGCAGTAGATTAGTACTGCTAGCACTTCATTTGATCGCGTCTCGAGAACGTCGTCGGTGTGGCCTTGTCCACATCGGATCTTGACGGGGGCGGCGAAAAGTTCGAGCTGCTCGTTCACACGAGAGTCGTACACGCATTGAAATTCGAAACGATCTTTGTTGTCATAAATAGCCATCGAAATCAACTCAAAAACATTCATAGAATCAGCATAATCAGGGAATTTGGCCTTGGCCAAATCTAGTAGTTTGTAAATTGGCAAATAACACGCCGGATCATAAATACTGACGTCTGGGACGTGTCCACGAAGAAGACCAGAAATACCGCGACGAACATGACATGGCCAGGAGCAGCACCACTCCCAAGGCCCATGATGATAATCCTCATATACATAATAATACCTATGGCCAGTAACGTGGTACAGCACGTACTGCTTGGCGTCGCGGCCCAGCTCATCCTCGAGGAGTTGGATGTTGCCATTCCCGATGGCCTTGAGTAGGTGATCCGGGTAAGGATACCTTCCGAGAACCTCTTCAACCTCGACCTGCATATTTTTGTACTCGGGGTTAGGCTTCGTCTCGCGAACGAGAACGCCCTTCCCTTTTCCAGAAAATTTCAAGTCGGGGTTGTCGTTGTTCTCAGGTGCAAGAAAGCTCCCCGTTACGGGAGCGACCGAAGGGGTGCCTTGTCCCTGCCCTTTGCCTCGCAATCGCGGCAATGGTGGTCTCGGGTCAGATGAAGACGCTTGACCCTCTGCGGGTTGGTCCGCGTCCGTAGGGATCATAGGAACATCTCCGGTTGCACCTTCTTCAACAGTCGTTTCATCATCAGCCAAAACATCAAGAACCTCGGCCTCGATCTTCGCCATCTGTGGATCAGGTTCTGGTGCTGTCGGCAAGGCATTTACGCCTGCGATACCAGTATCAGGCCCAGGTACTTCGTCGGTTGCGCCTGTATAGCTATCGGGCATCTCAACGTCCGCGTCGGTTTCCTCAACCTTCGGCTCGACTTTTACGTCGGCTGTCGCAACGTTATCCATCGGCTCGTCCAATGCGGGCTGTTCCTCCGGTAGCTCAATAACAGGTACAACATTGACAAACTGCAACACATCTTGAGGATCTTCGCCTTCCAGGTTAACGGAGGCCTTGAGCTCTTCGACTGACACGTCATTCGTCTCAAAGGGGCTGTACGCTTGTACTTCCTCGACAGTAAACTGCCTGCTCTTCCCCAACGTCTGTTGCATTCGCGCGTTTCGCTGTTCAACAAATTCATTGATAAGTTGTAAATACGATTCCGGTATTTTGACTGTCGCTGAGGAATCCCAACTGTATTTAAATCTTCTCACCCTGTTGAGCGCGGCAATTCCCTCTCGGGAAGCTTCAACGACGTTCACATGGTACGACAATTTGACAATCGAGGTCACATAGTTCACGAAGCGATCGATGTTCTCCTGCGTCTTTCGCATATGCCATTGATCAACTTTATCGGATTGGTAAACCAGATTGTCAGGCTGGAATCGGTGTATGCCGAGACTCTCAATGATGTCGTTGATTTCTGCCCAGAAAATATCGACAAACGAAGGCAACTCAAAAAGATAAGAAGATATTCCACATATACAGCAGAGCTCGTCGGAGATCT